TAATGCTGTTTTATGTCTGTATTTGTCTGTGCACACTGGAGACTTTTGCTAATGTATTCCAATGTGGTTTTTTTTACTGCAAATGGCAAATAAACTGAATCTGAATCTGAATCTGAATCTTTCCCCTACCACTAAAGGCATGCACAATAGGTATGAATGGAAATGAGAGAGTGAATGGATAGTGTTGGCTGGGAGCTGATGTGCAAGTGTGTTCGGCGACTCACTTCTGTCATCACCGTGTGTGGACTGGAACAATATCTGAACTCTGAACATTGTAAAGTGCTTTGGGTGACCTTGGTCTGTAAAATGCGCTATATAAATAAACATTACTTACTTATTATTTTCATGCGTTTTCAGTATGTTGGGTTAGGGGTTAAGTTTAAAATGCAACATCAAAGGGCAACAAACAAAAGCTAAAACACTAAAAGTAAAGAGCCAATCCATATTTGGAGTTACAATCACATTAACTGACATTGTACTACAGGTTATTCAGGCATAGCTTTGTTTACCAACCTTAATTAGCAGGTTCCAAAAGGTATTCATCCTGAATTAAAAAAAAAATAACCAAACTGTGACAAATTTCCCAATACTATATCCAGCAAAAACAAAAACAGTTGTAACAATTGTCAGCAGTGAAACAGGCCAACAGCAGGAGTGTAATGAGAGTAATGATAATAAAAATGCATTGGTTTTATATAGCGCTTTTCAAGAGGCTCAAAGACGCTTTACATGTCATTATTAATTTACTTCATACACGGTGGTGATATTCTACAACTGTAGCCACAGCTGCCCTTGGGCACACTGACTGAAGCGAGGCAACCAGTCTGTGCCATCAACCAGAGTTATGATTGTTGTGAGAATAAAGACGACCTCTTTGCAAAGAACAGTAACACTTCAACGTTCCAAAATATCCCTTTTCAAATATGTTACAATTCTTTTCCAAGAAAGCCTAAGTGTTTGAAGCTGGTACGATTATGGTGATTTGAAAAATTGAGAATTCAAGAAGAAAAATATGGCAGAAATGCACATTTAACTCTTTATGAGAGAAAAATATGATTATTTCAGCATATTTTGACGCATGATTTCATTTGACCTTTTACTGTTTTACTTTCCATAAACTTACATATTTAAGATAAATTATAATATTCTGCATTTAAAAAAGTTTTTTTCATTAAATAGAAAAAATAAAAGATGGATTAATCAATATGGAAATTATTAGCTGCAGCTCAAAAGAATAGGAAAAAACAATCCTTTTCAAAAGTCTTTTTCAGTTTGTACGAATTATAAAGGATTATTGATTAACCTAATTATTTTACATCCCTAGCAAAAACACAGTAAAATGCAGCCAGCGAAAATTCAATTTGGTAGACGTTAACCAAAATTACCCCCTCCAGGCCGGCTCGCATCCCCAGCCTATCGCCCAGCAGACGCCCCCTTCCAATCATCTGTACCGACTACGCCAGCCGCATAAAAACGGAGAAACTCCCACTTCTCGGCCTCTGAAGCCTCGCAACCACCGCCTCCCCTCCTCCTCCTCTTCACCCTGCCTCTAATCTGCCTTCAATCTGCTTCCCGCTGCCAAATGCCGCCACCAGTGCCTAGGTCCCGGGGGATCGTGCGCGCTCCATCGCAGGAGCCTTTCCGATCTGAAGGCCGCACCGGGACCTAGGGCGCCAAACCTCCTTTCATAAAATACTCAAAAACTTCCTGTTTTCTCGTCTCTCCAAATTGAACTGGACTTATGGTGCTTTCAGACCACGGGTAAAGTAGCGCCATATTCTTAGATTCGGACTTCCGAGGTCAATAGTTCACGAAAGCTACTTTGTTAAAAAAAAAGACACGTTAATTTTAAAATCCAGTGCGCTGTTTTAATGCAGAGAAATCCATTGAATCCAATGCACTGGAAGCACCGAGAAAAGCGCTTAGGGACCGTGAACAAATGTCCAGACCAGCTTTGTAAACGAACAATAGCTTTTACTGAAGCCACGCACACACACTAAACTCTCAGACACTAACAAATAATGACCATGTCTAACTGCTACAGACTTTGATTTCAACATTTGTGAGTTTTTTTTTATGAATACATATGTTTTTCTTTTTTTATTTGCTTTTAAGTAAGTAAGTAAGTAATCTTTATTTATATACCGCCTTTCACAGACCAGAGTCACAAAGTGGTTTACAATTGTTAATTTGTTTTTTTTTTTGGGCACTTGTCCTCTTACTCCACACGGAGATGGGAGCGGGGTCGCCGAACAGGAGGCGCATGCCAGACCTATTGTACATATTTTTAGTGGTAGGGGAAACCGGAGTACCCGGAGGAAACCTACGCAGACACAGGGAGAACATGCAAACTCCACTCAGAAAGGTCCTGGTCCGCCCGGGATTCAAACCCAGGACCTTCTTGCTGAGAGGCGAGAGTGCTATCCACTCAGCCACCGTGCCGCCCTTTTACAGTAAATGGTACAGTACTGTAACATACATAAATAATGTATGTTACAGCATTTGTCTTTTTTATATTTTTTATTAGTAATAAGAATGCATTAAGTCCTCAACCAGCCAAAGAGTTCCACCTATTTATTCAATTTCATTTTTGACTAAAGATTTGTTTTTTTTATATGTAACGCTCTAGTCAATAAATTACATTCTAAAAACTGTGATTATGAAATTCCATGATTACTGTGTAGATTGAGATTAGGATTAAAAAGTGCTCAACCTGATCCACCCAAATGGTGTCCCTTATTTTTTTGTTCTCAAGTTGGCAACCCTAGTCACCATAGACTTTGCATTGAAAGCCAACGCAACGCATGATCCGGTCTGAAAGCACCATGAGGCAAAAGGTTCCCTCACAGCCGCATATTGGAGGATAAGACTAATGCATTTGTTTCAAGTGGAGCGGGTCTCAGCGGGACCACGAGCCTGAAACTTCTAATTACAGCAGGTACGCACTGTATATAAAAAGTACACATTTGTCCCACTGAGAGCTAAAACACGGCGAGCGGACCAGCTGCTCCTTCCACAAATGGGCTGTGGCAAACCCGGAAAGAAGAGCAGAATCAGAGGGGAAATCAATGAGCAAGCCCACGTAAATAACATTAATAAGATGACAGTTGACTTCCCTACAGGGACAGAAAGAAAATGATGCAAACGGAAATCTACTGTAAAAAAAGAGTGGCATTATGTATTAACCTAGAAACAGCGTGTAACTGGCTATAGTTAAGCACCCATTTAAAAGAATAGAGAGTAATTAACAGTGCAAGGAGTCAAGAGCAGTGCAAATGTGGAGAGCAGGCTTTTTAATAGAATCAGCCCATTTGTCAAGTGAGTGTGCATCCTGTTGAAGACTAATGAGGTAGAATGTATTTAATAGAATGGAACACTTGGGTAAATCTTCCAATCAGAAAATAATAAGAAACATAAAAATTGTTTAGACAAATTATGTTTTTCGAGCCACACAGGTGAGAATATTTACTTATATCAATAATAAAAAAATAAAAACAGTACATTTAGTGGCAGAAAGTTTATATTGAAAAGTATATATGCAAGTTGATATACAGTAAAGCCACAACCTGCCCTAAAATCGTCATTAAAACAATGGTATACGGTGCACTTTGAGATATTTCTAACCATGTCTATAAATATCATCCTTCTGTATGTTTCTTTACTCCCACATTGTTAAAATATGTTAATAATAAATACTTTTTTAGACTGAAAGATGCTTGTCAATGTCAATATGAGCCATATTTTCTCCACTTGAAAACTATGATCTGACTAAATACAGGCAGAATGACGATTTTACATCTCACTGATTTTTGTCTCAAAGCAGTCTTCGTTTGGTTTGAAAAAGACCCGTTACCTTTCTGTTAATCAGTGCCGTGCCTTACAGAGTAAAAACAGCCTCACCCTAAGAGGCGTTTGATTAAAACTGCTCCGGCAAGGAAATGAAAAGCCATCCGACTGCCATCTGACTGAAATGATTACATATTGGCATTTTCAGTTCCAGGAAACATGAGGCGTCTCCTTTTTTTCTGACATTTTGTGCAATTTTTTTGGGAACGAAAAAACTCAAATGTAGCAAATGTCAACGAGAGCAGCAGGAGTCACAACGTCTTTAGAAGTGCGATCAGTCAGGAAGAACACGATTAATTATAGTCGTGACACATAAGAAGGCTCTAATTAAAAGGTTCTCAGCGATCACAAAGGGTTCAAGATAATGAAGAATAAATGATATTCATTCATAAGCATTCATTTCACCTGACAATACACTCTAATCAGAATGTCGGTGGTGAATATATGTATTTAAGAAGAACTACATTATTTGTTTTGTTCATCAGTTTTGTTGTTGACAATAGATAATCAAAATATAATATATATTTAATTATATAATATTATAGTAGGTTTAAGCAACAAAGTACATCAAAGTCAAAATGTATGTTTTAGAAAGACACCAACAGTCTTATTACTAACTGTCTTATTTTCTTAGTAACTGATATTCAACTACACTATAGGGAAATATTCCAGATGATTCATTGAGCAAAACCTGCGCCTCTGGTGGTTCTCCACTTAAGGTCCACTTAAGGAAATGAATAAATGTTTTTGAAGGAAGAAATTAAACTATTTTTTCATAAAAGTCCTGGATAAATAAATGTAAAAAAAAATCACACCAAAAACAATCAATGAGATGTGAAAATATGGTGTTACATAGTGTATGCTATGTTTTATTTACCCTGGGTTTGTGTCTGTGTTTTTTATTGTTTGAAAATTGAATTAAAAAGATGCGCGATTGATTATACTGTATTACTCTAATTTGTTGTATGTTAAATAATGTTTTTAAATATATAAAACTACTGGCATTTGGGTCCGGACAATAGGAATCCAAAATAAACATAACTAACATCAAAACAGCTGTATAGTTATAGGCAGGAATATACAATTTTCTTTACCAAGAATAAATATACATTATAAATCAATTAAAGATTGTAAAGTGAACTGCCTCCACTCACCCCGATGTCAAAAGGTCCAGTGAAGTAGTCCAGATTGGCCTGAATAAAGCCAATGTTCTGTAGCCCCAGTTCAGTAGCGCGGCTCTGGGCCCGGACCAGAGACTCTTCTTTGTTCTCAATCAGAAGGATCTGTAAATGCACAATAACATTATCATCATCTTGAAACAACAGCTCTGGTAAACCAACTACAATATGAAAGGCCTGAGATTTAGAATATATTTAAACAGTAGTATTATCAAACATTTGAGAGAAGCATGACTATTGCAGTGACAAATCTAATAAAAACTTCAACTCTTTAAAACTTGTGCATGGACCAAAAAGTTGTTTTGAAGGCTTTCCTGGAACAAACATACTTTACCTTGCATTCTGGAAGAGCGTGAGCCAAGACGATCCCCACGTGGCCCTGTAAAACAAAACATTTGGACAAGCATGAGTGAACATCAAGTCTGCTATTGTGTTTTTTCCCTTGGGGTATTGCACACACTGATATTAAGAAGGTAATATGGGAAATGATGGTAAGTTATATATAATTTTAAAGCAAATTATCTCAAAACTACCATGCCAATTTATTTATTGAACCTAGAACACAATAAATAAATAAAAATAGTAAGTGGTCTGCTTTAACACTCCTTTCTTACTTTTGGTACAGTTTTGGTTAATTCAAGAATGAACTGATTTTAATTGATGAGCTTGTCTTAAATAAAAAATAAATACTATCTTGCATATTATCTTTTGATATTTTTTAAGATAATAAAAATATTCAAAAGAAGTTATGCGGAAAATCCCCTAAAGAAAACAATGGAAACCTTGGTATAACTGTAAAACCTAAAAACAGTTGTGGCTGCGTATAAAATGAGTTTGATTCCTGGAGCACATGAAACACTTTCACCCCCTAACAACAGGGTTACTCATGCCCTGTCTATGCTGGCGAGGGGGCACACAGGACAGAAAGGTTGGGAACCACCGCTCTATAATTATAACCAAATAAACAGTGGTATGATAATGAGCCAGCCGAGTAGAAGCTCAAGTGCACAAATCAATACAAATGCATGTTGTCGGGCGGGTTGAAATCAACGCACCGTTCCACTGCAAAAGTCCACAATGGTGCTGGCAGATTGAGAAAGTTCTGTAACCATGGCAACCAAGTTATTCAGCTGTTGTTTCTTCCTCTCTGCGCGAACATCTGACATTTTACCTGCGACATAAAAACACAAATTGAGCAATCATTAAGCGTATGGAGGTCACACAAAAGTACACCACAATTACTATCGTAAGTCATTGTCAAGTCATCCTTAAAGGGCCCTAAATATGTCAAAAGGCATTAATAAATCATGGTATTTTAAAATACTTGACTAATAATAGTAGTTCAGCTGGGATATGCAAATTTCTAAATTGGATTTACGGCCCATGAAACTTGTTATTGTTTTTATTTCGATTCCCCGCCCTCTAAGAGTCCGTGAGGGCATTACATCCAGGTTTGGTTCTGGGCGTTTTCACCTGTAAAACCTTTGCTAGCGTTGGTTGTGGTTCATTCAGTATTGAATGTGCATCATCAGCAACAGTTTCCAACAGGTTAGTAGTGCCACATTTTTTTATTTCATTGCATATTCTGAAACACTTATGCCTAAAACAACCAATTCATCTATAAAGGGGACCAATCACCTGTTGATAAGGGGCTGGGCCAATGCAACGAGAATACCTCAGCAGTTCTACAGGAAAGGTGGATAGGGAAAACAAACACAAGAGAAACCTACACCCTAGAGCTGAATTGAGCTGATCGATTGACTAGTAGCTGATTGAGCTGGAAACGATGATGCGGATCTGGCAATCAGAGTCAGGTAGAGTGGGTTATGTCTTCACATTTTGGCCAGATATTTACATATGGCTCCTAACATTGTAGTTTGTTAATAATACGTTCTTTCCCATAGTTTTGGCAACACGTACTGTCCATTCAGACTCAATCTAGGGCCTGTTTTGTCATAATGATTCATTGTTACATCTTATCTCAGTGTTGACGCATCACCAAGATGTTCAAGTCATCTAAAGGCAAAGACAGATAAAACATGTTTCCATTTTTCCTACAAGCACAGTTCCACCCAATTGATATCTGGAGAGTAGCGGTGCACCATCTTTCACAGTCATCAAACACCATCCTTCCAGCTAAACGGAGGTAGATGGAGAACAGTGAGCTGTGGAGCGAGAAGTGTTTCTTCAAAGCACATTTTGAATCTTCTGTGTACTACGTCCTCGCTGTGTGACATCCTCAGTGAGCCGCTGAGGCGCTGTGCTCACGTTCATGGTCCATAAATCAACGTGATGAGCGCTTTATTCACAGAGAGCCATTCTTTGATTTTCAAAGGGTATTTTTTATTTCCAAACGAACGGTGTGCACATACATACATATATATTCGGTTGAACCAGTAGTTTACATATGTTACCAATAAGTTAATACGGATTTTTTTTCTACAGCTACAATCAGTTTGGAGTATGTTTCCATAAGCTTTTTAAGAAACTAAAACCGTTTACCTACTCTTCTAAAACGGCTGAAATAATGACAGATTTGGTGGAGAGCATTGGTGAACAGCGAGTAAGCAAGCAACAGTAAGTGGTTTGTGACTACTTCTAACTTTTAATTTGCTGTTGAAACATACAAATGTTTTTTCCGTCACAGGACAGAGAGTGTCGAAAATGGAAACAAGGCAAAAACTCTAACAGATCTCTGCACATGGTTGAATCTGAATAAAAAGGCATGGGAATGGGAAATTGCAAGAGGACCACGCTGAGGAAGCAGGGGTGGGATTGTCTAAGCCGCCGGTAACACCACACAAACTTTGAGGTTTCATGTTACAAAGCTACGAAGTGAAATAAGGTGACAACAGATCTCTGGAGGGGATTACGTGCACCTTTGAATTAGTTTTGTTAGAGGCTTTGTTGTTGTTTCCCAAAGAGTGAACTAAGTATAGGAAATAGTTAAACAATTAATGCCAACAAACAATACTGCTCAGCTTTATGAGAAATACAACTGAAGAAAGCTTTTAAAAGCTCATGAACTCACTTAAAAATGTGACCTGTGATAAAATGACATCGAAAGGGCTACCTTCTGAAACTCCTAGACAAAATACTGTGTATTGCATAAACTGTGAATGTTTGAACAACTAAATAAGTTGCTTAAACAAAAGGTGGCTCATTGGCTGCTCATATAGCTATAACTTCCACATTAAAAGTGTGTGAGTAGGTGGTAAATCACCATTACACCCTCTCCAGAAACCAGTGCGAGCTGTTTCAAGTTCAAAGCACAGGGCAGAACATTCACGTCACTCACATAATATTTAAGGCAATGTTGCAAATGGTTACAGAGTGGACTAGACTTAATGTTAATTTGTTCATTTGTAGCAGTTTATGTTAGAATGTGTTGCTTTTTATTTTTACCTTAAATGTAAAACTATTAATGGACTATATATAAAAAAAAATCACAAAAATATTCAATGTAATACAATCCATCTATTTAATCGTTGATTCAAACACTTGTTTTCAAATGCATGTACCTGAGGCGTATGTAGTTTAGATCAGTTTGTCAGACAGAAAAGTGAAAAAGAGAACCAATTTGCTGCAAGTCTGTTTAAGCTTTTTACTGCTCTTGTTGCCGAATAAAAGTGCATCATGTCAAGTAGGAGAACATGTTTTTTTGGGAGTAAATATGTGAAGTCATATTTGAGAGAAGAGGTCTTATTCATGCTCTTCTTACTTACAGTTCTTGCTGGACTCTTAATAACATCTGTACATAAACCACATTTAACTTTGAAAAGAATGTAATTTTTGTCCACATATAGGCCATATTTAAAAACAGGTTTTCATGTTGTAACATTTGTAAAACGACCAACAGTCGATGGAGCAAAACTTTAGTGAGATTAGTGATTTGAAGATTTTTTTTTCTAGAAATAGTCCCATGCAAATGTATACGTTTTTGTATATTAAGTTTCGTTAGACACGATAATAAACATTGTCTAGTAGCGATGTAAGCAGTGTCCTAAATGTCACATGTTTTGATGTGACTAGAATTGATAAAGCAAAGCTGGAAACTTATCCTGGAGATAACCTTTTAATACAAACGCCCTGCACAAGAAGGGCCAAAGTCGCCTCTTCCTTCTGAGGAGGCTGAGGTCCTTCGGAGTGAGCAGGCCTCTGCTCAGGACTTTTTATGACTCTGTGGTAGCTTCTGCCATTTACTACGCTGCCGTGTGCTGGGTCCCGGGCAGCACAGAGCGGGACAGAAACAGACTGAACAAGCTGGTCAGGAGGGCCAGCTCCACTCTGGGCTGCTCCCTGGACTCTGTGGAGGAGGTGAGGGACAGGAGGGTGCTAGCCAAAACCACCTCCATCATGAACAATACCTCCCACCCACTGCACAGGACTGTAGAGGAGCTGAGGAGCTCCTTCAGTGGAAGACTGAGACACCCTCAGTGTAGGAAGGAGCGCTACAGCAGGGCCTTTATCCCCACTGCTGTCAGACTGTACAATAAATCACTTTAAATGATCACTGTGTGAAAACCTGCACTACTATTGACACTGTTTCCAATTGACACTTGTCACTTTTGTTGTACATAATTATTGTCACTTTATTGTACATATATCCTGCATGTAACATGTTTGCACATTTCCTCCCTTTGCACAATCTGAGTGTCTCTATCCATGCCAAATGTGACATGTAAATTTCTCCTCTGTGAGATAAATAAAGCAATCTTATCTTATCTTTTGTCCCCATCCAGCCCACTCAGAAGAAATGCATTAAATATCATGGCAATACCATCTGCCATTATGATTGTTTTGCTAATATTTCAAACAAGGTCTAGCCCACCAGAAGTCACATTGAGAAAAAATATATTCCATCTGGTTGAACACCATTGGATTCAAGCAAATATCTGTAGTACTTAGAATGAAGCATGCAGTGACTTTAACCTAATGTATTGGTAGATGTTATTTGTATAAACCCACCCACTCCTCATCCACCCACTGGGACCGACTGTGTGTAATGCCTTTCCCACATAAAAATCTTTACAGAGCATCTCTCCGTTGAGACGCTGAAACACCACATGCAAATAGGACAGCTGGATGCTACAATTGAATCCAAGAATGAAAGGTTGGAATGTATACATTTAGACATGAAAATGCAGAATAAGCACAAAGGTTAAAGAGGCACACATTGATTTTTTGTTTTTATTAGGTATGGTGCAGTATACTTTAACTCCATAGGGAATTTTACTCTGCATTTGACTCATCCTTCAATGCTATAAGGGCATCCTGTCCAGAGCAGTGGTCACAATCTCCAAATCGGAAATTGCCAACTCCACTCAGAAGAACCATGCCCCTGTTCAAACCAGGATACAAAACCCATCCTGAAGACCTTCAAAGATATACCAGTCTTCATGTTCAGAATAGTGGCTAACAAGTGCATATTACACTGGGCTGCTCTGAACACTAAATAAAAAGAAACATTGAATTGTGATTATGTATACGAACATCATGAACACATATGGAAGTACCAAGAATGAAGAATTCACACGCAATGATGGTGGTATAAGGAAAGGTTTGTGGATTGTAATCTTAACTGCCCGACTCGGTGGCACCTCCGAATCTTATCAACTCCTAAATCGTCATGAATACACCAACATGATGGTGCAAACAAAGTCATGCAGCAAGCGACGCTTTGTGTGAAGAGGTGGATTTGCAGACAGTTATCAAATGAGATATTAAAGATGTCTTCCACACCAGGAGATATTAATAGTAAATGTCATGGTCTAAAGGGGAAAAGCTATATAAGGCATTTGTACTGCTGCTTATTGCACTCAAACATAATAAAATACAGGTCAAACAGCCCGTGTCGCAGACTAAAGTCCACAACAGCAGGAGGTGACAGAAGCTGCAGCTCTGCACTACGATCCATCCGGCTGATTCAACACGGCAATTAATAGAATTTAAAAATTTGTTTCACTAGCACATTTCCTGGTATGCAAAAAATTACCGTGAATACTGTGAATCTCTGAGACTTTCTATGTTAAGTCTTATGGCAGGTGTACCGTACACTGTCTTCAGTCAGTTTTGTCCAAAATCATGTGGGTTCATGCGGATCAATGTGAGGACAGCGGTTAAACCAGTACGACAAACACAGACCCTATACTTCTTTTGTATGCTTCTATT